ATAATAATTGTGTTTTTTTTATTTTTATTTTTTTACTTATTTTCATTTTAAAGTGTTACTATTAAAGCCTACCATTGTGCATATGAAATAAAGAAATAAATAGGGCTGGGTATGTTCTAATGTTCTTGAAGCCACTAAGAGTTTTGTGTAATTCTGTGTAGAACAGTTTGCATTTTTTTCCACTTCCTGCAGTAAAATTTGTTCAGTTAGTAAGGTTCAAGCAGGGTATGTGCAAATGTGTTAGTTTTCTAAAACATTGCAGTTTTGTTTGCATGTTTTGTGTAGATTGAATAAAGTTTTTACAGATTACATTTTCCATTGTACTTACTGACGTACACCTCTGCATGTAGACACCCAACTGTGCAAATTCATTTATAGATTTAAACCCCAAACGAAAAATGAGAAATCGAGCCAAACTCTAATTTTCCGTTTGTTACACTAAACGGAAAAACGAAAAAACGAGCCGTTTTTCCATTTCTCGTTATTGCATTCCAAATAGGAGATGAAATTATCAAAACGTAAACGGACCGAGAATCGATATTGAATCGACCACATTTTAAAAAACGATATATCGAAAAATCGATTTTTTTTTTGCCCAGCCCTAGAAATAAAACACCAATATGGAAAACGTAAATAGTTTGAAAACATAAGCGATCACAAGCCCAATGATATTGCTTCATTGATGATGAAGCCACACCCAGGGTTGCCAGATTGGATGGACGATTTCCAGCACAAAAGCTCACAAAAAAACCGCCCAAAACTTTAACTGTCAAAATAATGTGACGGAATATGTAAATCAAGGTTGATAAGGGCCATTTTTAACTTCTTAAAACAAAATAATGACCACAAAATAATATAAATATAACGTTCGATAAATGTCCCAGGTAAACGGATCAGTCGGGGCAAATAGCCTAGGCTACATTAAAGAGAATTGACTACCGAACATGAATAAATGCAAGCAGACATCAAAACGGCAATCAAGAAATTAACCGATACCCTCGAAACAACACATGCATCATTTTCAATGTCAGCATGCAGACTGCAGTCATAAGAATCCAATTTAAATGCAAAAATATTTTATAAATTATTTCACACTCGTTCATGCACACACGACAGTCAAAACTGTGTTATTCATAAATACAATAACAACAATAATGCGCTTACCTTCGTGTAGCTCTATCATTTTACACAGAACTAGAGGAGCCTCTTGTTAAGTTCATATTGTAGAACAGAACTTTGCACAGTCAAAACTAATCAAGTCTAGCAGTTTTCAAGGATTTATCAATCTGGACCGTTTAAAAGATAAAAGACAGGATCGTATGAACCGAGATATTTAGTTTCGGTTTTGATTAATTAATTCAGATGTGCTCTGATTTCGGAGTTGCAGTGCTAGAGCCTTCGTGTCATCTCACTCCACAATAATTCACGTTTTGAGAGTTGAGTCACTCTCCCACTCTTCAACTTATATTTAGGCACTGTGATTACTTGAATATAGTCATACTACATTCAAAATCAGATACGTTAAAACTTATCACGCTAAAAACCTGTCACTAATGAATCATAACGTCTGTCTGCTGAGTCCTCGTGATAAGTGCAGCTGCCGACGTTTACATCAGCACCAGCGCCTCTGCACTGTGTGTGTGTGTGTGTGTGTGTGTGTGTATACGTTGTGATGATTGATTGTATGCAGTACATGCATACTTGGGTTTGTTTGTTAAACAATTATCCTATGCAATTTATATGTTTGAAAACCGCCAAACTGAGCCCAAACCAGCCCAAATTTTGTCCACCCGCCCAAGCCAATTTTTACCCGCACAATCAAATTCAAAACCGCCCAATCTGGTAACACTGGCCACACCATAGACTGAGCCACACCCACAAATTGCGGAGCTACTTCTTTGACCAAAGTCTGTGACCTATACGATGATACTAGGCGGGAAACGTAAGTAGAACACTGTTTCCGAATAAGAAATATAAAAGACTATCCAATTAAAATTATGATAAATATGATTTTCTCAACAAGAAAAACATACCATATCGCAATCCCTGAGGCGAAAATGGTCTTGCCTCTGAAAATAACCATACCAACCATGTCAACAGTGCCAAAGTTATTACAATTATAACGATAATATAAAATCATAATGAATTCATATTAGGTCTCATTCAAATAGTGAATGTAAAAACTGTTGTTAAGTCCAGATGGTGGAATGACCTCCCTATCATAATTCGAACAGCTTATAGTCTTCGGCCATTTTCAAAAAACGTCTAAAGACACATCTTTTTCGCCAGCACCTGACGAACTAATACTAACACTTACCTATTCTATTCTATTCTATTCTATTCCATCTATTTAAAAAAAAAAAACTAGCTATCTGTACTGTGCTAACTTCGAATCATCTTATCTCGCTTTGGCAATTTGAAGCAACCAAAACAACCAACACGTTGTGCTCGCACACAATGCCTTCAAATTACGCTTAACAAAAACAGTTTAAGTGGAGTGAGACGCACATCTATGACTCCAGCGACAAGGGCAGAAAGAGTGCCGCTTTTCTCTTTTTACACACTTCACCCCCTGAAAGGCAATTTGGAGATAAAGGTTGAAGCCGGAAACCATGAAAGGCGTCGAACGCTAATCCTGCCTCACCTTGAGTCTGATCGAACTCTGAAAATCATCCGCAAATCTCTCGTTTCTTCCCTAAACCGTAAATACATCCACACGGTTCGCACAACGGAGGGCAGCTTTCTTTTTCTCGCACTGGAAGTTCTCTGAAGTTAAAGATGGTGCCGACAGATGGTGGAAGTTTTTAAAGTTTTGATGGCCGATAAGGTTACTTTATTTTGTTTGTTCAGGTTCCTGTGAAGCGCAGAGATGAGGCAAATCCGTGCCGGTATTATCTTCCACTTTCTCACCTTGCACAGGTGTGGAGAGCTGATATGGCCCAAACCCACATGCTCCCGATGCACCATGGGAAGAAGCGGGACAGCTGTGAGAGGGAAGCCACAGGTTTGCACAGATTATCAGACCATTTCCATTTCATACGAATGGGAGAAGAAAGAAATGAATTGCTTTAGAATATTCCTCTGAAACGTCCTGTCTGAACTCTAGTTATAGATGTGTATAGTATATGGGAAAATTTGCAATGAAATGACATGCATAAACTAAAAAGTGAAGATGATTTGACGCATAAAACTTGCTTTCGGTGTAATCATCAGGCTGATTCAGTCATATGAAACAATATTGTTGACACCACCCAAAAGACACCAATAGTATACCAATAATTATAGCTACCTTTCTTATCAGGTTTGACATTTAGAGGTGAACAGAATCAGCAAAACATGTATTGATAAACAAACTGGACAAATAATATGCTGATTGATTAGGTTTTGTAGTGTTTTTTTCTCCTTTTTTTAAAAGTCGATAAGCCATTTTAATATGCGGTCCTACCATTTTATTGTTAGTTACATTTTAGTACTACAGTACTGCTTTAAATGTTTAGGAAATTACTGTTATTGCATCTTCATGAAATTATTTTAAAATAAAAATATTTGTAAATAAATGTAAACATTTTTAAAAATCCAACGTTCATGAACATTGTAAAGTATTGGACATTTGTTGATTAAAATTTGTTGTACGCCTCTAAACACACATAAAACAGGATACAAGCATGTTTTTAGAAGTTCTTGCATTCTTTAGAGAAACAAAGGCTTCAGCCCTCAAAACTGATAAATGGTAAAGTAAAAAGAGAAAAGAGAGGAAACATTCTAGAATGTGAATTAAAGGAGTCACGGATAAAAGCACTTAAGCCGAAAGTGCCATTGTTCAAAGACCAATTCGCCACAACGAGCCTGCGAGCTCAGATAAACACAATTTCACTCTAGTCACTGCGATTACCACACCGCTAATCGCTTCATTTTGCATGTCGCTATTGCCGGTAAACAAAAGGTCATAATTTAGTGGAATTAGACTTCCAAAAAAACGAATCCTCTTGAACCTCTTTTGTTCTTAAGAACGCACAGAATACTGATAATGCGTTTTTAATCCCTCACCAAGTCTTTTAAATTGTTTGGGTATTTAAAAACGTTCAAGCTTTCAAAAGTCGGAACAATTGCACTTTTTGGAAATTAAGTACAACTTTCAGGATTATAAGAGAAACGCGTTGCAATTACATTTGTTGTTTGGGGAATGTTAGAACTCATGAAACGAAAGTTTGACAGACCAAAATCTGAGAGACCGATATACCACAAAGACTGTGATCGTTTTATTTTCTTACAGTTCCTTTTATACTTTTCCTCTCATGTAAAAACTCTTTCAGCTTTTGAGTCTTTGCTTAGATGCAGCACTTAAAGCACTACTGATTCCGGCCCAGCAGAACCAGTTCAAACTGAATTCATGCGGGACTCTAGTTCAGACAACAAAGAGCATCCTGAATTGCAGAACACAGTGGCATCATGGGAATTTTCCAGGACATGTTCTCGACATAACTAAGTTGAGTACTAGAGTTTACATTGATTCTAGAGCTCCTGCTGAGCCGAGACGAATAAAATAATAAAGGCCTGGTCTCAAATGTTGCTCTTAGTCAACACTTGAGCGAGGAGTGAGGACTCAACACTTTGGTGGCGTAATGCAGCATAGACTGTTGGGTTGAAACCCACTCTGAAGTTCAGTGCTTTGCAAAAGTGTGCACTGCGGCTAAAAAGCACCCTATTAAAACGTAAAATGATGAATGAGACACCCTACGGTCTTAATGCAAACAGGAACACATAAAACAGCCTTTTGAGGCAAGACCCTTAAGTACTAAACATGAAATCTTAAGTAATTTCCTGGAATCTGCAACATTGTAGATTAGTATCTTCATAATTACAATCACCGTACCACTTTTTCTCTTTAAAAGCAACAAATGTTCCCCAGTCACAATCTGATTAACTTAGATTTCGGATGACACAGTTCAATCTTTATTGTTTTCAATAAAATGGCATCACATTCTTAACATTAAACAAGAAATTGGCTGATAAAATCAGTTTAAACTGACAACTAAATTGTCACATTTACAATAAAGTGGAAATGTGGTTTTAGACAAAAAAACATGTACGTTAGAATACATTAACAAGTATTAAAAAACAAACAAAAACACTGGGTTTTGACTTTACCCAAAACTGGGCTGAGCCTGTTGGGTCATTTTGTTTGATTATTTTTAGCTACACATATTGGCCAATTACTGCTATTGGCCTATATTTGTTACTATCGGAGTTATTAGACATCGGCTGGATATTTAAACAGCTAATTATGTCCTATCAATCAAAAGGGAGGTGAAAAAGTGGGCCATTACAAAACTCATGCAGTGAATAAAACATCTCCGGCTTGTTAATTAATAGCACTTAATAATAATTATCACAGCTTGACTGTTATTTAAGCACCCTAAGTTAGCTAAATGTCAAAAAGATGCTATAGAGAGTAAGATAATTAAATTCCATTATTAGTTATTTAATGTAAGGGTGTTTAAAAAGGTGGCAGAAAGCGCAGTACCACCACTGGTACTAGAAGTACCAACTATCGGTATCAGAAGATGTTTTATTTAACAGATATCTGTATTAGAACATACATTTTGTATTGCGCATCTCTATAGTTATTTTCACAATGTTGTGTATTTTGGTGCAACAAAGCTGCTGGTTTATAGCAACCATAATATAGATCAATTTGTCTCCTGTCCTGAGTGAAAACTTCCTGTGGGGAACTTCCTTGGTGAAATGAAAATTTTTACATTATTTAATTGGAGTGAAAACAGTGATCCACTACCTAATACAATTATAGATGTAACTTAAAATCATTTTGAGGTAAAATTAAGCCAGCATTATAGTCAATGTGATTAACTGTACAAGCCACCTTGATTGGTTGGTTTAGCACAAGGTATTGTTCCACCCAACGGCAAGATTTCAGCTGGGTTCCTTTTAACTCAGCCATTTTTTTGAGTAAACACAACCATGTTTTTTTTACAGATAAAAGAAACCAAGCAACTCTCGGTAATAACAGAGGCAATACAAATAACAACTATGGAGGTTAGATTAAAACCTTGCATTCCATGTAAATGTACAAAAAATCTCTTGCCGACAATCCCTTTCTCTTGGTTTATCTTAAGAGGTAAGGGAAAACTGGTCTTGTTCAATGGGTTTTTCAACCCATGCTCCAAGTCCTGCTTTGTAGAAAGCTTTGAAGAGAGTCTGTTTGGCCGCATTATACTCCACTGCCGCTTGTTTTGCCTCGTGGTAGGAGCCTGGCCGAGATCCTCGGATCCGCAGAGTCTCACTGAGCTGAGAGAGGTAAAAGGATATTTGCTTTTTAATATACCAACAACCCTCTACGGACACCTTAGCAATTGAATTGCTATTGGCTAGTACATTTTTTAGTTTACTCGCCAGACTGTTTAACACAAAATTTGTTTCCTCTCTTTTTTTTTTCCACTATGTACGGGTCGCAAGAGAAATATTAAGGGAATAAATTAAAACAGTTATATACCGTTATCAGCATATTATTCGTCTCTCGTTGTCTCTGAGAGAATATGCGGCGTCAGATGCCGAAAGCTCCATCATTCCGTTTTTACTTTCACTTTCTGCATAGTGAATTGACTGACATTGAGACGTTCACCGGCATAACTCTTGCGCAAAGTTTGCACGTTGCTTGCGTGACATCCATTGGCTCGCCTTCATGGTTTAAAACAGAAATATTTCCAACATTG